ACATTTTAAACACCTAAATGTTTTTTTAAAGCAATTATGGTGGTTGGCTTAGTAGTTTTTGCAAAAAAGATTAGCCTTTGCCAAACAAAAATCAGATTTCTGGGACATAACATTTTCCAAGGAAGGATAATCCCCATTGATAGAGCCATTAATTTTGCTAATAAATTCCCTGATATAATCAAGGATAAAACTGAACTCCAAAGATTTCTTGGTTGTCTTAATTATATTGCTGATATCTATAAAAATAAAGGCAAAAGAATCCTCCTGAATGGACTCCAAAGGTTAAAAAAGAATCCTCCTGAATGGACGGATATGCACACTTTAGCCGTTTGAAACATAAAAATAAAGGCAAAAGAATTACCCTTCCTTACACTCTCCGATCCTACTGCTTTTAAAATCATTGAATGTGATGCTTCAGAAAAAGGATTGGGAGGCATTTTAAAACAATAGATTTCAGATAAAGAACAGTTGGTTCGTTTTACTTCTAAAGCTTGGAATCCGACCCAACAAAATTATTCTACTGTTAAAAAAGAAATCCTAGCCATCATCCACTGTGTGACAATTTCAAAGTGATTTACTCAATCAAAAATTCTTAATTCGTACCGACTGTAAAGCTGCAAAAGATATACTCCACAAAGATGTAAAAAATCTCGTTTCAAAACAGATCTTTGCACAGTGGCAAGTTATTCTCTCCTCCTTTGAATTTGACATTGAACATATAAAAGGTACTACTAATTATCTTCCTGACTTTTTGACCCGAGAATTTTTGCGAAGAGGGCATGAGGAGTCTTATCAAAAAAGGGAGTTATGGAGATAGTCCCTGTTCCAAATAAAGCCTTGGCATCATCATCATTACCAATAGCCACAAAACAATTAACCAAAAAACAAGCTTAGGAAATATCGTTTTCCCCGTAACCAATACCGTTAGCCGTAAATCCACCTGGTGAAAAAAGCAAATTTATAGAAACTTTCTTCATAACTATTATCATAATAGAAGATGACCATAAGGATAAAGATCCCGGTGAAATAGCTGCAATATATTTGAGAAATCATCTACATCCTAATAATGGATGAAAGAATAGAGAATGGTATGAAACCATTCTTATTGAAACAGGATCAATAACGCTGGTCCATTTCTATAAAAAGAATACTAATACGATTGCGTATTCTAAATTTCAAATACGTAAAATAATTTTATATAAAGAGTGGGGTTCTGACCCCCTGAAACCCAGGAAATTACAAATTGAAGGTTTCAATAATAAATACTACCAATATTTTGAATATATCAGAGCATGGCATGAGGTGTTTGCCTTTCAAAATGATATGAATTCTCATACATGGTTTCTATAAATTAAAATACCAGTAATAGGGGAATTCCCAAACTGGTTCAAAAATTGGTTTCAATTATGGGGCTCTGAAACAGATATACTACCACCCAATATGCAAGCTTCTCAAAGAAAATTCATGGACTACAATGAGAACAGTCAAAAAATAGATCTCCATATGTACTTCATGGCCTTATACCAGATCCCTTGGATCATGAAATGGTCATATCATTTATCTGATGATTATACAAATAACTGAGAATACCTCCCGGAATTAGGAAAACAAATATATATAAAATGGTGGGATGTTTATGAGAATGACTCTCTAAATCCTGATAAGATAAAAATGAAGAAAGTACCATCTCCACCTCCCAATACAGATATAAATATGACTGATTATCTAAATAAAGTTCGTCAGCGATATCCTAGAGCAACCAAAGAAGAACTCAAGAAAAAGTTGCTGCAAATATTCGATGAAGATGAAGAAGCTATGTCAACATCAAACCCAAAATGAAGAAACTTATGAACAGGAAAATGAGGACATGGACTATAGAATCTCACAATAGGACGACACATAATAGAGGACGGATCGACTGCAGTTTACATAGCACATGAGTCCTCAGAATAGTTTACCGACAAAATAGTAGCCTCTTTTTACTATTCATACTTTGTACTATTCATACCTTTCGGTCAGCTCAAAGCATTGTTTATACCTTTTTGACCGATATCTTCATATGGAGCATCTGCCACCGACATCTTTAGTCACCTCAGCAAGTGAAGACTTACTTTTGCTTTACGGATCTGAAATAACAATTTCAAGTCCGCCATACGCTTAAAAGGAAAGGGGCGGGGTTCTTCAGGAGGCATCGCAGAAAAGAGGGAGAGGAATCTAGAGTTTGAAAGTATTAAGAATAGTTTCTTATGAGTTTTTGCGTGCTGTGTGAACTATATGTGTGACTGCTACTGGGATCATCTGCCCAGCTATCGTCAGTGTCTTATGAGTTTTTTAGTGCTGTGTGAACTATATGTGTGACTGCTACTGGGATCATTTACCCAGCTATTGTCCAGAAGAGTGGAAGCTTTTTTCTAGTTTTCGCAACTGTTGTATGTAAGTGTTTCCTTTCTATTTCTTTCCTTATACAGTTTAGCTTTATTGTCTGTATAAGAGCTTAGCATATTATTAATATATCTCTGTTGTCTATTATTAATCTTTTCATAACACTATTAAATTTTATTTTTTATTGCGCACAATTGAAATGGTTATATATATATATATATATATATATATATATATATATATAAT